AAGCGCCCCCTTCATCAAGGAAGGAAGAGGGTTCACTCATTGACTACCAGCGTCCCCCAACCAGCCCTATCTCATCAGCAGGCATCTAAGTCACTCTCTCATTCTTCCCTCAACACCCACAGCAATTAGGACATTTCAAATTTCTGCTTCATTTCCCAAGTAGCCAAAGTAGCCCATCAGGCCTTGCTGCCAGCCAACTGGGCGCACGGGATGGATGTGGGACAGAAGTCAGGGATATGCCCATGATGATCACATGACCTGGGTTGACTGCAGTGGCACGGTCAATTTTCAATCCCATGGGAGTCATGGATTTTGATCGTATTTTGTAAGTTAGCCCATTTGAGGTACATTGTTTCAAAAATTGTTGCCCTATGACCCACCGTTTCACCCAGTTGAAGTTTACAGACACGAGAGTTTTAGAATGTGTACACACACACACACACACACACACCCTATATTGATGATGATGATGATGATGATGATAATGATAATAATAATAATAATAATTTTAAAAAATAAAATGTATATCCAACCTTTAAGAGTCAATCAGCACTCCCAGGACAGTTTATGAAAGAAGAGCTAAATTAGCACATTAATGTGGTTTCTGGGTTACTCACTGATTCAGCCGCAGACTTAAAGGGCAGGGAGAGAAATTTGCTGTTGAATATTATGAATATATCATCTACTTGACCTCCTTTGGATATTGAGAATGTAATATGTGGTGGAGAGAAAATAAATGTTTCCTTTGTCATGGACAGATCATTGCCTGGGTAGGTAAAGATTTGGGCAATCTCTAACTCTGCAGGAACAGAGGGCTTTTAAGCTGTTCTCTTTGGGAGGCTGATAGATTTAAGTAGAATCCTAAGAATTTTAGAGAATTTCTAGTCAACATGGTGCATCTACAGACATCCTGGTTGATTAGTTGCATATGGAGACACTCTGAGAAACTGATAATTGTTGTTCTTAAACAACACCTTCATATCACTTGCTGACTTCCTGAGGCTTCTCTGAGCAGCTATGCAGGGTATGAGTTGCTTAATGTGGAGACAGATAATGATTTAGATCCCAGATATTACTCTGCCTAGGGTCATACTGTTCCCAGAGGAATTGATTTGTGACTTTGGGGTCTTCCTGGACTCATGTCTCCTCACCAGTCAAGAAGTGGAAGCCAAGGACAAAGTGTGGTAGGATGAAGTGCTGTGTTTGATAGTGTATTTTTTTTCTGAAAAGTTTGAAGGTTATTTTCTTTTGTCTGCCTGCCAGATACATTTCTTTAGTCACATAAGCACCTCTGCAAGGATCCTGATCACCCAGAATGGCTACAGAATGGCATTTATGCCTTTGTGTTCAGGGCTTAAAAGTTTCACAAGCAGGGGATCTTTTTCTTTCTAGGTACAGTATATCAGAGGTATTGTCCATTTTTTTCAGGAAAGGTGGGCACCTGAAGATGCCAAAGGAAAGAAGATGATAGAACTGGGAGAAAGGATTGATAGAGTCAAAGGTTTGCAGTGGCAAACCATAGCTTTCCAGTCTGGGCTGAACAGAAAGCAGAAGGAGCCTTGGCACAGGAAAGATCCCTGAAGTTTGTGAAAAGAGTGACATCAGAATAAGGGGACTGTTGTAGATGTCAAGCTGCACTGAGAAAAGGAGTAACATTGAATAGACAATCCTGACCATAGATAAAAAATGGAGTAAACAGGATGGTCTAGGTACTGCACTGGCTTTTCAGCAGGGAATTTTAGAGATGAACATGGAGACTGTTCACCAGCAGGTTGTTTTCCTTTTCTCTTAGTCTCCCCATCTTTCAAACAAGTTAGTCCCAAAGGAAAAGAACAAATATAGTGGGAAAATGAAAGTGAAAGCCTACCTGTACTAGAAAAAAATGGCCTTGTAAGTATATATATCAATGGAGGCAATGCTGAGAAAGCAGTTATACTGTACGTATAACGTGTAATTTATAATGGGAGCTTATCAGTATTTTTACTCAGTGACATAATCAAACTAAAAAATCAAACCCACAGACGCAGATGTCACCATGTCACAAACCCTACCAGCATGATGTGCTACCTTATCCTATTAGGAAAGGCTGCTTGCCAGCCTGAAAGTTAACATAACTCTCCATTGGATTGCATTGACCCCTGGTAATTCTAAGGCTTGACCTCACTGAAGCAAATTTGCATATTTTGAAGCAATCTATACTTTGGCCACTTTTGAAATAAAGTTTTACTTTTGTTCAGTTTTTAAAATCAGCACCTTAAATGCAAACAAACAAACAAACGGACTTTTTTCAGCTACAAGATTTTTTTTTCTTTTATTAAAGTTAAAAACACATATCTGCAAAATTTAACTGGAAATGCTACGCATGTGTACATGCACATACAAATAGGCAAACACCCCTCTAACCTTCCATCAAATAATGAAAAATAAACATTGTTAGCAAACCCTTTTCTGAGGTTTCCTGAAGGAAAATGAAAGCTTTTCACACTTTTAACCCCTGAGTACGAAGCTTTAACAGGGCTACAACTGAGCAATGACACACCCTTACAATGATTGCATACATGTGCAGAGCACATCCTGCAAGAAGAGATTTGTTACATGCTGGAACATGACCAGAGCATACTCTGCAAGGGTAAACGTCTGTCAATACAGAGATGTTGGTTACTGTCCTTGCAAATCTGGGCAGAAGCAGGATGCCTTTTTTCAAGAAGCTTTTCATGAGAGCAGATTTGTTTGATGTAAAAATGATTGGCCCTCCAAAGCGAATGGCTAGTAGTAGAAGTGGTGGCTCTGTATAAAATAGCAGAAACAAATACAATTTCAGCAAAATCCCAATTATGCATTTACATACTTGGGACTTCCTTAAACCTGCTCACAATTGGATAAAACACAGCAAATGGGGGCAGAGTGCAGAACAGTAACCTAAACCAAACCAACATTTTAAAATTGGTTTTGTTATTAAATAAATAAATACATGTATATATGTTGTGTTGGCACTTGACATTGAATATAAGTTGCTCTAATATGTCAATGATGTTAGGACTATTCTTGATAATTGTGCAATGTCATACAAAGCTTGTTGAAATTATATCTCATTACACTATTAATTGGAGTGTCTAATTTGTTGCCTTTGGCATCTGGTATATCTATAGTTTATTATAAAAGATTAGAATTTACAATGAAGGCATATTCTAAAAAAATACCTGCATTTCTATCTTTCCTGATCACAATATGTTGATAATATTAATGTTATCAAAATGAATATTACATCAAAATTACTGTATATCTTAAGAGGAATTCCAGTGTTAATTCCCTAGACGTTTCCTACAGCTATTAATAAAAAAAAAAAAAAAAAAAGGCAGGCTAAAATGCCTGGGATCATTTGGCCTAAATAGTGGTTATCTTAGAAGGACAGCAGCTTTAACCTACTGGATTTTGAATTATCATTGGCTTTTATTTTAACATCTGTATATTTTTTTCAAGTGAGATTTATTAACATTACTTTTCCCTTCAGAATCATTTGCTCTACAGCTGTGTAATACCTTTGAAATCTTGGCAAGTCTTAAGGCCAGGTATACCAAATTGGGATCTCTGTTTCCTGCTTTGAAAGCTGCCAGGCATATTTGGTTATTAATATGTGGTTCCATTTTGGTGCTCAATCACATGAAAAGTTAATGCTGTAGTATAACTCAAATTGAAAATAGTAGGGAAGTTGTTCTATTGGAATGCTGGAGCTAAACAAGGAATTAATACTTTAAATCAGTTGATTTTTAATGGTTGTTTTAAAGCTTTTGAGAGACTGCATTTTCAGTATGACTTACCTCCAATATACAACTGAAAAGTTGCAACATATACACCTGAAACATGTATTAACTAAACTTTATGGCCTAGATAGTTTAGCGGCCTCTGAGGTGTCTCCAACTGTAGCTTCTTTAAGAAATGTTGTACTTGAATGGAAACCAACTATTCAATTTTATAAGGGATTAAAAGATGAAATGAAAGTTAGCATCAGTTATGTATTTGATCTGTGGAAGGAAGGATTGGAATATCCAATTCTGGAAAATCAGGTATTATAAAATGTGAAATAGTTTTCCTATGTTTTTAAAATGAAATTCATTAGAATATATTATTTTAGGTCTATTGGACTCCTCAAGGGATATTTAAAAATGCATGTACCTTTACTTTTTTATGCTGGTAATGTAAGACCAAATTCACATGATTTGGTTTTGTTCTGTTATAGCTCTGTTTTGGTTTCAGATCAATACATGTCTTAATATAATTTGGGGACGAAACATATTTAAGGATCTCAGTGTGATGCTGAATTATAATCCTAAAATATGGAAGTCTCTGTGTACTAAGAATGAAATAGTGGCACAGAATGTGACAATATGGTCTAGATTTAAAATTAAAGGTAATTATCATTGAGTTATTGATTCCATTTAGGCATTTATACAATATCTTTTGTTAATTAGATTGTTTGGGGTGGTTATATTTAGTTCATTTAATCAATATATTTAGGATTTTCTTCACCATTCTTTAAGGTTTCTTTTGTATTTCGCAATTTTACTCAATTTGCTTCTACTTCTCGGACCAAAAAGGTTGAACTAGCAGCAGCCTAACAGCGTAAAGGCAACGAGCTACTCGCAGCCGAACTAAAAGCATTGAGACCGAAATGTTCTGATCTCTCCCTTGATACTTCGGTCTTGAAATATTTAGCTAGTACAGTACTGTACTTCCCTTCGCCCTTGACAGAAACAAAGAACCGCTCGTAACTCGCCCGGCCGGTTTCTCACGACAGAACAGCCCCGGAATCCTGCTTTGCCGCTCAATGGAATCTTAGGTTCCCCCCTCCCCACCTCAAGCAACTTTCGGCCAATCGGAGCGGAGCTTCCCCCGAGCGGCGGCAGAAGCCCCTGCCCTCCGCGATCGCTGGAAGTCCGTTCAGAGGACGGCGCCGCCCTTGCTT